ACAAATATAGGAAGTATAGCTGAAAACTTAACTTGAGCACAGATTTATCGATTTAAGAACTGAACTTGGTATTTCTAGCCTTTTAGAGTTTGAACTTTGTTCAGCACCTGTTAAACCTTGAGAGACTTGAAGTGAGGGCTGCTAATTTGGAGTTGTGAAGTGATATGGAATGAAGGTATGTAGGACAGGAAGCTTAGACTATAAAGTTTTGTACTTCACATTGTTTGTGGAGCAGGCTGAGAGATCCAGTGTGGGTTTTTTTCCTACATTACTGAGCGGACATGTACTATTCTGTCCTGCATTTCTCTGTTTTATGAAGTGGATGAACACTTACAGGGGTTTATGCAAAAAACTTCCGTCAACAAAAGATGGAATTCCAAAGTGACTTTAACCTACAGCTTTGAGAGTATGATTGACAGTTCAGCATACAAAGATCTAATGCTGATTAAAAACTAATCTTGATATTTTTAGAATTATCTGTCTAAATTTGAACTAATTCTCATGCAAAACGAAAAAAAGAAAAAATATTTTTCAAAGTAGTAATATTTGATATTAAGAACCAGTCATGTAGTCTTAACTTGATCTTTTCTTTTTTTTTTTTTTCTCTATAGGTAAAATGAAAGGACTTGCATTTGTTCAGGATCCTGATGGCTACTGGATTGAAATTTTGAATCCTAACCACATGGTGACTCTCACTTAATTCTAATGAAGTACAGTATATAAGAGATGCCCACTTGCAGTCCCCTGGCGAAAATCTGTAACAGTGTTGGCAAAATTCTTGTTTAATAGGATTCAGTCACGTTCAGAGTCTCCTCTAAAACTATCCCCTGGGACTTGACTGTGCTTGGATTCCTTTTTTTTCTTGTCCTGTGATGCCACCACAATTTGTTTCCATGTAGGAATACTGAACCATTTTCTGGAAGAGCACTTACACAGATTCTCCTCTTGAACATTGATTATGTTAATATTTCACTAAAAACTGTCAAAAGATATGTTGACTGGAAACTCACTGCATCCCACACTGCTTAGATTTAAACTAACAACAAAAAGTCCTGTGTTACTATTGATGAGCTTCAACAAGGAAGAAAAAAAGAATATTTTTGAAGTAAAAAGATCCTGAAGATTTCATGCCCTATCTTGTATACTAGAAAATAAAATGTCAGACGAACTTTGACATGAGTAGTAGCATGTTTATCGAAGTCCTAATCTTACTTATATTATGCCAGGCAAACCTCTTTAAGGAGCAGCCTTAAACAGTCTTGAAACAAGAAACTTTGTGGAGGCAATCAATCAGTCCAGCAGAAAGAATCTTGCAGCTCCTGACTGCTGATTTACAGCCAAGATAAAGAGTTCTCAAAGCTGCTAACTCACAGTGACCCTTCTTGTCTCTTTCAACACTAAGAAGAACTTGCTCATAATTTTTGTTTCAATACAAGGCTAGGGCTGTATTTATCTTCAATGCTCTGTACATTCTGCATTGGGAAATTAATACAAATAGTATTTGAAACAACAGTTTCCTAGTACTAGACTTTGTGATCTAACCTCTCAAAATGAGTGACGGTACATACCTGTAAACAGCAGGAAAACATGTAACATTTACGTGTGTTATACAAATTGTTTGATTTTATGCTGTTCCACATCTTATAAACAGTATAAAAATAAGGAGAGTTCTTGAAATCCTGTTGTTCTTCCAACAAGGAAAAAAAAGCCTCTGCCTTGTCTCATTTTGGTTTGAATAGCACTTAACTCCTTCAGTTATGTGACTATTGATAGTGTAATGGCATTGTAATTCACCTCTCAGTAAAGCAATGGGGAAAACTACAAAATAATTTTAAAGCACTGTGACCAGTTGCTTTGCTGATTGTTGAATTCTGGATGACTGAAAGGTGGTTTGGTTTATGGATTCTTTTTTGAGAAGAAATCTGGTGATAAAAGAACATGAATTGGGAGTAACAGTGAAGAAGATAAATGTGTGACTTGTTTAGCAGGATGTTTCAGTAACCTAATGTACAGAGTTGATAATAATTTTCAATAACTCCCTAGCTTATAAGTTAAATATAGAAAGTATTGCATTTGATTTCTACTTTATTAACGTAGATGTTAATGACTTAAATGCTAAGTGTTGCTGTCCTGTCTCCTTCTCTGAAATATCTTTAATTTCATCTACCTCATCTTAACAAGTAGCATATATAAACTCAGGAGTTTTACAGAACTCTACATGAAAAATCAATTATGAAACCTAGTCCAAAATAATTTTTTTACCCTTGGAAATGAGTAAAATAGATATGCTTCTTCTGAATCTGAGGTGTTGGAAAAAGGAACGTTAAAACAATTGCTCTGCTTTATACCCCCTATGGATGTACAAGCAATCATAAATTCATTAGAAGGTAGACATAGCAACTCAAAAGATTTTTTTTTCAGTTTTCTGTTTTATGAACTAACCCTGATATTTTAAGTTGTCCTTTGTATGGTATTTTCTGTCTGGCCTCTACAGTATCTACAGATACTGTGCTTCAGGTGGTGCCTTATCAGTGCCATTCATATACGGTAGATTCTTTTCTCTTTTTGAATATTTGCCAAGTTGCCTTTTTCTGTGCCAATAAACACTGTTGGTTCATAGTTGCATTCTCTATTTCTGCCCTCTTATAGTTACAGAATTAATACTTAGCTTGTTCCCTCTTTTGCTCCTTGTGCAGTTGATTATTCTCCTGCAAGTTAAATCACTTTGATAGGAACGATAATGTTTGGAGTGAGTGAGATCTCCCAAGTGAGCTGTCGTAATAGCTGTAGGATCACCAATGATCTTAGTCTTCTTCCTCCCAAATACAGGGGTTTTGACATTGCACTCCCTGCCCCAAGCAGGCTAATTCAGCTTAAGCAAGTGACAAAGGTTTTCTTGAATGCTTAGTTAGTTTTATGCCAAGTTTATTAAGCAGGAATGAGGAGCCAGTTCAATGCTCCTTGGTTTCCCAAATGAGTAAAGCTGATCGTTCTAGCAGAAAGTTGGATGAGCTCAACTAAATCATGAAACCTCACCATACTTTAAAAAAAGGTACACAATATTTCAAAATACAGCAGCAATTCAGAGAGCTCTTTATTCTGAAGCCTACTGTAGTGTAACTGTAGCATGGTCTCTTCTGAAGTTAGTAGGATGAGTATAGTGCCGAGAAGCATCAGAGCTATGGCAATGAGACAAAGCACTCGGTTGATTGCAGCTTATATAGGTTTTGATGGCTCAACTGTGTTTTTCATACACATCTGCTGCTGGTATTCTGAAGTAAGAACTTAAAATTAAGTAAAAGAACTTAAACAGGTGCTAATTGCAGTTCCTTGCCATTCAGAGTGTCTCATTAGATTGTGTGAATAGAAAAACTTATTTTAGACTAATAGTTTGACGAGTCCACTTAGAGTAAGTTTTATTTTAGTCAATACAGGTAGATCTGACCAAGGCATTGGTTAAGAAAATCTCAAAAGTTTTACAAGCATGTCACTTGGTGGTTTATATTTTATCAACATGCAGTGTCTCATTCAACCTTGTTTCACTACACTTCAAAATACAGGTGTGACTGGAAAAGCTATTGACCCAATTGTATGGAATCCAGTAATTAAAACCAGGATAGTTCATAAATCAGATGAGTAAGTCAAAGGGTGCGCAGATGTAGTGCAGTGGATAACTACATGAGTGGGAGCAGGCTATGCCATAGCTGCTCTGCATAGTAATCACATAAAAGTTACTCTAAGCATGTTTGTTAATCTTGGAATGACCCTTGTTTTTTTTATATGCTTGACAAAGTGGAGACATGATAGATAATGAAGTAATAAAGAGGAAACTAATAAAAAAACACTGGCATCTACAAACTCGTTACAGCAACATCATGAAGGGGACAAGGTATGGGTTTGTTTTTTTCTAAAAAAAAAGTTACTGCTGCTTGCCATACTGAAAGCTAATTAAAACTAGTATTCTCAGTTATAAAATCCAAGAATAAACTATTAAAGATAAACGCTTGATGATTCTTTTAACATGCAACAATATTAAAATATTTTAGATGTAGAAAACTTTTGAAATTATTTGATGTTCTCACTATTTACAGACTGTTGTTTTTACTTCTTCCAAGTAAGACTTCTTTTTTGCTAAATAAAGCATGGAATTAAATAGCATGTAATGCTTTGCCTCTTGGAGAGCCTAAATTTAGCTTTGTGCAGTACAGTAGAAGTGAATCTCATTGTTACACAGAGACAAGCCCACATTCTGTGGGAGAGATTCTCATGGCTCAGGAAAGCAGAACTCATACTGAATGAAAAGAGGCAGGTAAGCACACGGTTATGAAAGAAACATGTCCATCCTTGGGGTTTTTTCAAGACTTGGTCACGTAAAGCATAAGTCACCCTCATCTAGTCTTAACTTTGAGCAGGGGACTGGCCTACAGACCTCTTGTTTTGCTCCAAGGACCGCTCCTCAGATGGATGGAGCTACACCTGGCACCATCTCTCTGGTGACCAGTGGTAGGACCGAAGGGAATGAATGACATGAAGCTGTGTCAGGGGAGGTTTAGGCTGTATATTAAGAAAAGGTTTTTCTCCCAGAAGGTGGTGGGGCACTAGAACAGGCTCCACAGGGAAGCGGTCACAGCACAAGCATTTAGAAAACGCTGTTAGGCACATGGTGTCATTCCTGGCGTGTCCTGCGCGAGGCCAGGAGTTGGACTCCATGATCCTCTTAGGTCCCTTCCAACTCGGCATATTCAATGATTCTGTGTATTTTGAATGTAGCCACCGAACAGCAGATGAAGCCGACAGGGAAGGTTGAGCACCACTCGCTATTTCACAAGGGTTGGGCACCCCAGGCCCGCTGCCCGGACGAGCGCACAGGCCCAGCCGGCGCCGCCCCGCCGCTGCCGCCCCCGCCCCGCTGCCGCCACAGGCACGGCCGGCGCGGCCTCAACGCTGCCGCTCCTGCTCCGCCGGCGCGACCCGCGCGGGGCGCTGCGTCACGCGCAGCCTGCTGCTGCCCGGTGACGTCAGCGCGCCGCCGAGTGACGCAGCGACGGCGGCGGGGCGGGGGGTGAGGCCTCGGCGCGGCGGGGCCGGTGAGTCCCGCGGGAGGGGCGCGGGCGGGAGGGGCGCGGCGGCCGCGTCACCCCCGGGCCGAGCGGGGCTTCGGGGCCGCCCGGGCTGTGCGCTCTGGCCCCTCGGCGGGCAGAGGTGCTGCCGCTGGCGGCTCCCACCGGGCGCGGGCAGGGCAACCCGGGAGCGGGCCGGGGAAGCGCCGCCGCCCGGGGAAGGCGCCGGACGCGTTTGGCGGCCAAGCGGTTTCACCTGGAGCGCCTTCCCGCGGAGGCGAGGGAGGGGGCGACCGGGCGGCCCGGGTTCGCCTTCCCTGGCGCCCCCGGAGCTGGGGGACGGCGGTGGCCCGGGCTCTTCGGGCGCGACCTTGGGCGCATCGCCGGCTCCGGCCGCCCTCTGCTCCGCGCCTACCTCGCCCGCCGCCCCCTGCTCCTGTCCCCCTGGCTGGTTTGCCCTCTGGCTGGCTTCTTAAGGCCCTGTTGCAGCTGCCTTATTTGAATCTTCTTTTGCTTTAACTATTAGTTTAGTATTTTGATGCTGTTATGGTACACCGTTTTCCCTGGTCCTTCTGGTGTCGGAGTAGTTAACCAGTTACACGCTGCTGTGATTCACTAAAATTATTTTAGATTTACAAGACGTATTATCAGACTTGAAAAAAAATAAGTTGATGCTAACTCGTTAGCAATCTACTAGTGGTCTCACTTGCCTAGCAATGCTCTTTGCTCTTGCTTTTAAAGTGCAGCACGAAGACGTAGCTGTGTTTGGCATGTCTTCTGTTACACATCTGTAAATCAGATACTTAAAATATACTGTTCTTTTTGAATGTTTACTCATATTTAAGCAAAAAAACCCAAGAATTTTTATGAATGGCTTTTGAATATATTTTGATAATAGAGGCCAAATTGATAACATACATTACTGGTAGGGACAAATATTTACACATTACATTTTGTTCCTCAAAACCGGGAGAGATTCTTTGTCAAATGCCTGGTTTTGATTTGCAGGATTAAGGTGTGGTTAGTTTCCAGTTAATGAGACTACTGAAAAGTATCTTTTTCTGCCTTCTCCTCCCTTGTTCTCTTATGCATATATTCTAAAAAAAGATTAGATGGCTCTTAGGAGAGAATTTGTAGATCAAGGTATCATCTGTTTAACAAATTAAATCCAGTTTATTTTTCCTGCTGGCAGGTATGATGGGAAAGATAACAATAATTTATACTTGTTGAGAGAGACTCATTATGTTGGTTATGTATTTAAACAAATAAAGCCTCTATATTTCTGTATTTCCTCACCCTGCAATTTTGTTTTGTTTTCCTGTTTATAAAATTAAAGGCTTGCACAAGAGAAAGATCTGCAACTGCCTTAAGTGTTGTAAAAAAACCAACCACCAAAGCCAAACAGAACCCCCAAAACCTTCAGCTAGGCAAGAGATTTGGCTGTGTAGGGAATAAAGCATGTGTGATACAGTTGGTATAGATCTGGTTTAATTAGGACACCTATATGTGAAAACGGTGTCTTCAAGGACATTGATGCTGTGGCAGGAAAGTCAGGATGAAATTTTTGTGACTTATGAACAAATGAATGGCAATATGTTACCATCTTCTTTGATGATTAAAAATGTGAATGGTCAAAATTCAGTGATGATGACTCAAAAAAGAAATTCTTTTGCTATATTCTAATGTTATTAGAAGTTTTCCCATAAAATTGAGGTGTTTTTAAAGAATTTATTTCCACAAAAATTTGATTTGAGAAGTACACATCTCGCTTTTTTTTGTCATAATGCTCAGCGCTCCCAGTTTCTGATGGTATGTATTTCGTGCGTTGTTTCAGGAAATGGTACAGTTGTTGCTGTGCAGCTGCATGTTGCTGAATAGCGTTTCTATGAGCTTGCTGTTCAATCTGTCTGTTGTTCAGAATGGCGAAGAACCCTAATTTTCAGGAAGCTGGTAATGTGCCTACAGGCTACGTTCACTGTAGATCTTCAGAGAGTTTTAGTGGTGAGTGGACCCATGTATTTTCTTGAGATTTTTGACTTAGTGGTTTAGTTGTATGCCATTTTAAGCAGGTTAATTTATATGTGTGTTAATATATAATCTGCACTTAGTATATTCTTTTTTGTACCTAGCTAAACTTACTCCTCCTCTTCTATCACAGGGATACGTCTTAGAGCAGAACTTGAAAAGTTGGCGCTACAGCACTTAAATGATGGGAGTGTGTTTGCAGATAAGCAGGGCATAACTTCCCATATGCTTTAAGTCAAAACATTTTTTGGTACTAAATTGTTGTTTAGAATGCTGTCATTGAATGATGTGGTTAGTTACCATTAATGCTACCATCTGCTTTTCTTTTAATCCTTTCACAACAGAAGGTTTGGAGATGAGACTTGAAAGTTTTGTGAATTTCATTTTCTTGAGCTTTCATATTCTATATTTATAAAGTCAGATTGGTTGATTATGTTGTTATTATTAATGGCTACTAAGTATCAGAACATGCTTTCATTTTTTTCCCTGTTAAAATTTTCACTCATAGTCAATTTTGTTATGGATACTTAGAAGTGCAAAGGAGCTGCTGTAGCAAGGGTTCTGACAGAATCAAAGTATTTACTCGGGTTATACTCTATGAATGTTGAAATATTTACTAAAAATTCCTATTTCCTGAGATATTAGTTTACTGTACCTGAACTTAGGAGAACAAAATATTTTTTTATAAAAAGACATATGCGTGTTCATTAAAAATACAAACCATATGATTTGAAACAGTGGTATGTTTGTACAGTAGTCTTACTGTCACACCTATCATATTCTGGGAGTCTACAGTAATAGAAATTGAAACATAAAGTAATGTTTTGCTGGAATATATTTACAGTACAGCAAATTATTTTATGAAGTAATGAATTACAAAAAATTTTAATACTACTCAAATGCCTTCTGATCAACTGAGAACTAATTCCTATTTCTAGATATAATAGTACTGTAAGAGAAATACTTTTAAGAAAATTCCCTTTGTGCAATTCTGACAGAAATACTGTCTTGCTAGGTACAAACTAGATGATGAAGGAATTAAGCGTTTCAAGGGTATGAAGTTATTTACTCAGTTATAGTCCAGACTTATTTAATAAAGTTTTTAATTCCAGCAATAGTCTATTTGCTTGCATTTATTTCTAAAGTTTTGGTAGAGTTATCTGTTATATAAACATTCTTTGCTCATCTAAATAACCTTTTTTTTTTAAAGTATTCATGATAAATTTCTTGTATTCTTTTTTCTGTGCCTGCTATAAAAACAACTCTTCCATGTCTCACTGAAACATCACTGCTTTTCGGAGGATTCTTTAGTGTTAACCTAAATGAGGGAGGGAAGTGACTGAGTATCAGTCATCATTGCAGCTCTGGTTTGAGAGTTGTTTAGTAAGGATGTCATTGGTGTTCTGCTGTTGTTGCTGCAGTTTCTAGATCATGTTTCTCTATGTCATAACGTGTTACAGATTACTGTAATAGAAATATAGCAAATCGAAAGGGCCTGTTGCTTTTCTAGCCATGACACACATTGTGTGATATAGCACGCTGCCTTATGTAATAAATACTAGGCTGCATTTTTCACATGCTCTCTGTTGAAGATGGACACCAAGCAGCGCGTCTTTCCGTGAGGTCTTAGAAGTGGTTTGTAGGCCTTTGGACATATCAAATGCCTTTCCCAATTGTTGCAGTTTTAAGGGTGCCTCAAATCCACTGAAAAGACTGTTTTGCTTGTTTATTTCTGTGGTGTGAACAAGGCTGCATGACTCCTGAAGCAGTTAATTAGCTCTGAATACCTCTTGGAAATAGGTTATGGTGCTGGCAAGAGGCTTGTAAATGCTTGGTGTTCTATTCTGAAGCTGGTTACGTGTTCTTTGACTGCCAGGATGAGTAAACACCGTAGTCTCTGAAAGGGTGATGTTTGATGACAGAAGATGCCAGAGGGACCTTCAGGAAGGGTTTCACCCAAACTTCTAGCAGGATCTGTCTTTTTTGTCATAAATAATACTTCTGAATTACAACTAGAAAAACACATGTTTAGCTATACAGGGAAGTTGTGAGCTCATAGTGACTTGCCACAACTAGAGAGGTTATTATGTTTTACTTCCTCGAACAAGAAGTGTGCAGATCACCTCAAGGGTTGACTGAATTCATACCAATAATTAATCCAGTCTGGGAAGATCTGAAGTCATGTATTATTTGGTTCTGTATTTTGAAGGCAGGACTGTCTCACTGGGCTGCTTTGTATGAAAAATTCACAATACAGACAAAACTTGCATTGGAAATCTGTGGTAGTAAAAAAATGAGTTTGTTGAAGGCTTCTTCAATGTATTAGTCTTACCCATAGAACGCATATAAAGCATGAATATACTTTCATAAAAGTGATAATTTTCCAGCACTTTGGGTCCTTCAAGCATTTGAAAGGCTTCTCAGCTAGAGGCTTGTAGCCATGATTTGAGTTCTGTATTCCCTGTGATCAGCATGTTCTTGTTTGAAACTGACAGTTTAGAATAGTACATGGTACCAGCAATTTGGAGAACATTAAACATCAGAACAGATTTGTCTTGCTGCTTACACACGGTGATTTCTAAATTTCTGCTTTCATTGCTTGCTGTCGTTCAGGGTCTTGATGTTCATAAGGACTGGCATCATTGGCTTAGTAGCAAATGTCCCCACTTAAGACTTTGCCCTCTTCTATGCATTGATTCTTGTTTAGAGAGAGGTTTATGTGCCCTTGAGAGGGAAGTATGCTTTTGATTTTATTTGTTTATTTAACCTGAAATAGAAACAATTTCCCCTGAACTTTTCACCCTATTGCCACGTGAAACATCCACAGCTACTTAGTAGCAAAGTTAGTATGCAGCTGATGGCATTTCCTTGTCTTCACCACTTTCACAGTCTCTTGGTTTTATTCAGACAGTATGTGTTCTTAGTTTTTAGAGATAAGAGTGGATTCAGGAAACAAAGAAGTAGACAAAATGGAATTAAAAATAGATTTTAAAACCAAAATGTGTCAATGCTTGTACATGTGTGAAGTATCATAAATCAGTTTCCCTATGCAATCAAAGTTGGAACTAACAGAAGAGAGATAGTACAGAGTTCCTTGATGATGTACATGTAATTTGCATTTGTTGGGTTGCCTGACTATTGCAAATGAAGATCAACAGCAGCAAATACGGACGTGTAAGGTACAGAACTCTTCAAGGAGTATTGAGACTTAAGATTTGCAGCTGAGTAACAAACACATGCTTTTATTTCTTCCCTGGTAATAAAAAGTTTTCTGTTTTGAGGGTGTTAAAATTTTACTATTGTTTCTAAACTCTCAGATAATTATGTTGTGATAAATATTATTCCTGGGATAAATAGATGCTGCTGGACTGATGTGAGTGAAGTTAATCTTGCTTGTTACAAAGTAAATGTTACTGGAAGTGTATTTTGCATAAATTTGTCTTACCTAATTGTAAATTAACAAGTGCAAATTGAAGGAATAATCTATTATTATGAAAACCCACAAAAATTAATTTACTATCATGTCAGAATGGAAGAATGACTGTACAGTATTCTATGTTCCCAGGGTTACGCTGCCTCCAGTATCTTGGCTAGTGTTGCTGGTTCTGTGCTGTAATGGCTACATGGACACACAGCTTCTAATTCAAGTGGCAGAGACAGCCTGTGGAAAGCTGGAGTTTTGTTCCCATTTGTGCTGTGATCTGTATTGTCAATTCAATATGCTCTATTTTTCTCAAATTTTATTTTCTATTTCTACCACTTTTCCTAGTTTAATTTAAAGTTTTTTGAGACCTTGTTTCTACAGTATTTGGATTTTGGGTTAAGCATTTCTACATGTTAAAGTGCAAATAATACTTAACCCCGTGTGCATGTGTTTTCTTTTTTGGGGTAGAAATGCCTGGAAACAGATGCATATTTTCTCATAATATTTTTAAATGAAGCATAAAAATGCAGTGGTGTCATGAATATTTCACTTGAAAGATGAATGTGTTAGCTGTGTGCAAGGTATGGCCTCATCATTTTTCTGCTTCTTATGGTACACCATCTTTCTTCAGCACTAGGTATGTGCCCATTTCAAAAAGTGGGTAGTTGCTGGAGAACAGAGGATTTCTCTGAAAATATGGATGGTTATTATCTGAAACAGCCAACCTCTTTTTAAATAAAAATAAGCCAAAGTGTAACAAGAGAAAGCCTCTGTTGCTGAAATAAACCAAAACCAACAAACCTGTGGAATTATTTTGTTTCTTCTTAATTCACAACAGAAGATATGACTAATGCCTTAATCTATATTGTACATTAGTAGAGTGTCTCCTAATTTTAATGACTGAGAGATATTAGGGGCTTTGTTTTCTTAAATATATGAGGGAACAAGAAGGCATCAAGAAAACTGAGTGGGAAGAGTAAGAAAATTGAATTGTTCATTGTAAAGAACAGGTTTTATCCGTTATTTATTAAAAGTTATCCTGATTGTTTATTTTCTCCCAGTTCTAGAAAGTTGATTAGAATCCTGCAAAAATGCTGATGTTTTCACTTGTCACTGATTTTGGTACAGACTTGAGAATTAAGACTATGTTTAGTTGTTCACATTACTTGTTTATAATTGATGTGCATTTTAATTGAGATAAAGTTGCTTTCTAATTGTAACATTATTTACAATAGTTTAATTCTTAATTCCTTTTGTTGGAAGCTTTTTCTTTTAAGTAAATGTATTGACAGAACAACAAGGTGATGGAATTTTCTGAAATATTTTGTCAGCTAGAATTGTAGATGCAAGCTGCATTGAATCCTGTTGTAAATGAACTTTAATAGAAAATCTCTTGGATTACTGTTTTCTTGTAATATATGGTTACTTAGACTAGTCACTTTTTTTTTGTAATTGCAGTTTTATGTTTGCCATTTTTAATGGTTTTTGCCCTGTATAATACTAGTGGGTTTTTTTTTCCCTTTAGGCTACCAATATCACCATCCCTCCAAGATGAGTAACAGCCATCCACTTCGTCCTTACACAGCTGTGGGTGAGATTGACCACGTTCACATTCTGTCAGAGCACATTGGTGCTCTAATGAACGGGGAGGAATATAGTGACGTTACCTTTATTGTAGAAAAGAAACGTTTTCCAGCACACAGGGTGATCCTGGCTGCTAGATGCCATTATTTCAGGTGAAGTATAGCTTTTTGTCAGGCTTACAGGAAATTTTTATGCAGATAAGATAAACATTGTTTCTCTATGAACTTTTCAGTGTGTAATCATCTGTCCATTGAGTGTGACCTTTTCTGTGTGAATGGTTCCCAGCACATCAAATCATTGTGTCCAAATAGAAAAAGATAAATACCATGTCACAATGTTATTCTTTTGACCTTCATTAAATTGGATTTTGAAGGTAGTTTCACAAATTCAAGAGAAAGATAACTTGAGAACAGACAAGTTCTACTGCAAAATTGTTTTGATTTCTCAGAGTATAAATGGTGTGCCTCTATGGAATATACTCATTTAGAAAGTTTCATTTTGATGCATTGGAATTGAATGTTTAAAGAGATTTGGCTGATACAGATTAGAATATGTATTTTAAAACTAGGAGTAATTCTAATCCAACTTTTTTTTTAAGAGCTGGGCATTTTTAACTCTAAATGTATTTAATAGAATTCCTGGTAATCTTCCAGTGAATTTTGTCAGAGGGATAAGCTAATAGCTAAACTAAAGTGTCATTGCAAACTTTGTTCAAACTGTCATTGATTTTTCTCAAGATTCAGGAGTTGCCATGTGCTGGGTTTGGGAAGAGGAGATAAGAATCCCGAGATTTGCTAAGATGCACTGCAAACTATTAGTTTCACTTGCTTTATGAAATTATTTTTTTAAATTTTCTTTCTCACTGATAGTACTATATTTAAAAAGCAAGGCACAAGAACCATATCTCAATTTCTGGTTCACAAGCTGTTGTTCAAAGTGGAGATGCAGGTATTATTGTGTAGGATAAAAACATAATGCATTAGAAGATTATTCTTGTGCAGTTGCTTTCAGAGCAGAGCTGCACTATAAATACCAAGCATAAGGAGTTTTCTTTTGTAGATTCTTAAGCCATGTCCCCTTTGTATTCCCCTTGCTGCAAATAGTTATTCCTTTCTTTTTCTACTTTTTGCATGGCTTTTGTCAGGATATAAATTTCTCAATTTTTATCTTCCTTATAGAGCATTATTGTATGGAGGAATGAGAGAATCTCAGCCTGAAGCAGAAATTCCTCTTCAGGACACCACTGCAGAAGCATTTACCATGCTGTTGAAATATATTTACACTGGTCGTGCTACACTACGAGATGAGAAGGAGGAGGTTCTTCTAGACTTCTTAAGCCTAGCACATAAATATGGATTCCCAGAACTGGAGGATTCTACATCTGAATATCTTTGCACAATACTTAACATTCAGAATGTCTGTATGACGTTTGATGTTGCCAGTCTTTATTCTCTTCCCAAATTAACTTTTATGTGCTGTATGTTCATGGATAGAAATGCCCAAGAGGTTCTCTCCAGTGAAGGCTTCCTGTCACTTTCTAAGGTATATGTTATGTTTGCACTTTCCCCCCCTGAAATGTTTCATTTTATCTGTGTATAACTTCATGATAAAATACTAATGCAGGCACCAAATAAAAATTAATTTGTTAGTTAACAGTTGTTGTTTTATACTACTGAAACGGTGACAGTTGGGAATGTTCAAGCCAAGCTGAACTGGAAGTTCTGGTGATTGGTTCTGAATTTTTTAGGTATTTGATTGTGGCCAGTCAGTATAGCTAAATATAGTAAATCTGATGGAGTATTCTAAAAGATGGGAGCAGGCAATCTTAATTTGTCTCGTTTCATCTGTTCTTGATATAATAGAATTTGGCTTCTGAATGCCACACAGGGAATGTAAAGATTTGAAGATGGCAGGAGATACTCCATTCCATTATTTTCTTGATATAGGTTGCATCAGTGATGGGGGATTTTCTACTGTGTAAACTAAAGCATTCTGGAGATTGCTGTGATTTATGTTGCTGATTGTTATTATGTTCTGAAGCTGCAGAATATGGTGGTGTGGTAGGGTGGTTTTGGTTTTCTGTGTGTTGGTTCTGTTAGATGCATATTTGTGGTTGAGTCAGGCTGGTCTATGAAGTACAGATTTTCCACTTACTCTGGAGTGGTCTTTGAGCTGTTTATAACAGTGACGGAGTGTTTTCAAGTGATGTTCACATGAAGTAGCAGAGGACCTTAAATGATGGTTTCATTTTTTTTAAGTGTTTTTAGTGGAAAAGCTGTGAATGGTCTCTTCCTTGAATGAGTATGAGACACTTTGGCTCTGCTAACTTACTAGTTGAGAAGGGAAAAATATTTTTTTCTCTACACTCTCATCTGTCCTGTGCAGTGTGTCAATCTGAGCTCTGAGAGCATATTAATGATAAAGAAATGAGGAAACATCATTCATCGGGAAGAGCATACTTTGATGTCTTTGGTGTAGCCAGTCCTGGTATATATGAGAGATTTAGCCTTTTTCTATGCCAGCTCCTGATTATTCTGCTAGCTAAGTGAAAATCCAAAAGCTGTATGATTGTTCTTGTTCTCATTTTGCTGTCAGTGGTTTTTCTGCATGAATAAGAGCCACTGGAGTTTTTACTTGCTGATTCTAAGTTAGTACCAAAAGACAAAGATATTGTGGGGGGATGGAAATCCCAAGTAGTTAGAAATGGTTTAAAAAAGTGATTCTGAGCAACACTTTTTTCTCATCAGTGTTCTTATAGCAGCCTAAGTTTAAAGGAATGTTTTGAACTATACTCCCAAATCTGTTATAATATTTCAAAGTAAATTTGAAGTAGTGAGTGGTATTATATTGATTTGAATAGTTCTCTGCATTTCAATTCTGATTTATTTTTTCTAGTGGTTTTGTAATATTACTTATTTTGTGGTGGATTCTGTAATTCTTACATAACTAAAACAAGATACAGTTTCAGGGAGTCACTTCCATGGAGATTATTTTTAATAGCTACAAGTTAAATACCCATTAATTTTATTTTAATTTCCCATGATTAAAAAAATAAAACTAAATTTAATTTCTGTTTATTTGTGTGGTTTTATTTTGTTCTTGTTTCTCTTTTTCAGGCTGCTCTTCTAAGTATTGTAGTGAGAGACTCATTTGCAGCTCCTGAGAAGGACATTTTCCAAGCTTTGATGAACTGGTGTAAACATAACCCCAAGGAAAACCATGCTGAAATCATGCAGGCGGTACGTTTGCCACTGATGAGTCTAACTGAACTACTGAATGTTGTAAGACCTTCTGGATTGTTGTCACCTGATGCCATCCTAGATGCCATTAAGATTCGTTCAGAGAGTCGGGACATGGACCTCAACTACAGGGGCATGCTAAGTAAGCATCAAGTTTTTTATTTGTTTCCTTTTCATTCAGTGACTGTAGTTGTCTGGAGGATATGGTTAGTGTGTGCTTTTGAGTTTTTATCTATTATTACATGTTTTAAAGGTCTGACAAAAGGAAATATCTTGTGTACTGTTCACGCCATTTCTATTTGTCAGATAATCTTAGTCAATGTATTTTTTTGCTTTTTATCTCAGATATTGCTCAAACATGAATGTTGTAATAAGAGTGTATTTTCCTAGAGGGACTGCTATTTTAATAGAAAAACTTTTACAAAAATATTAAAAGTAAAAATGCATTGGCTGTGGGATATATGATATTTAAATGGTTTTATGTTGATGGTAACCTGTTTTCTACTTCTGTGGAGATTCTCATATTTTCTCCACTACTTATGACTTTTCTCTTACTCTTTACATGCTTGCCCAAGTAGTATAAACAAGTCTTTCAAAACTGTTTTAATGGAAGCCTAAAAAGTGTGAGAAGCTTTGTGCTTGACTTGGGTCTGTGCTCCTTGTTAATTCAACAAGAGTACCTAGCACTTGAGCTTTAGAAAGGTATTGTTAGTTCTCTAATGTGTGACTTATAGAGAATATTTGGCCTACAGTAAAGAATAAAGTTAAATATTCTCTAAGAGCTTACACTGTATTCTCAGTCATACATGATGAGCTCTGAAAATGTTAACTGCATATTCCCTTTGTTCTCCTGTAGAAGTTACAGATATTAATATTTAAACATATGAGTTTAATATTAGGTTATTGTAAAAGTCTTGTCATGCCAGATATTCTATTGACACTGCAGTAGATAAATTTGAATAAGTCAGATGGTGTTTTCTTTGACTTCTTTTTCTGAATATTTATCTCTCCACAATAGCATGTTCCTAATCACAGCTTTTTGGAGAGTGGAATTTCTTTGTTTTTTAAGTACTCGTTCAGGCTCTTGGAACTTTTTCTGTTTGTGTAAATGTTGACAACCAGTTACAGTTTCAGTATTGTGCATTTGATGTAGTAGTGCTACAATACAGTTAAAATTTCAACACTTCAAATTCTGTTCTTTGGATGTCAAACTTAACACCCTGTTGAAATTCATACTTCTATTGCCAATATGCCTGAAGAGTTCAGGGGCAGCTTTTTATCATTTAGCTTTCAGATCATGTTTTTTCAGGTCTCTCCTCAAAGAAGGTTTTAAAAATGTCTTTTGAAGAGGGTGGTTCATCAGTGTATTGTTTTGTAGCTGAAGGTAGGGATAGTTATCTCCAGTTATCTTGATGGAATGTGTTCCTAGCATGCAAGAAGTTTATTACTGTGAAATGATAGCATAAAAAAACTTGCTTTACCAAGTTGGTTCAAAGCCCAAGTAGCCAAAACTTTCCTTTTTCACTCAAGTTCATTTAGCTGTGCAGAGTACTAGAAGGCAATATAGCTATCAAAAGAGCAATACTACCCTATATACCACCCTGCAAATTCATGATGCATCTTGTATATTTGGTCCACATCTTGTACATTTTATGTGATTTTTAGTTTCTTTCCACTTATGAAAAACAAGACAAAACAAACACCCAAAACCAAAGTGAACAACAGTTGAAATCAGAAAAAGAAGACGGAAAGAAAGGGCAAAAAAAAGTGTTAGAGGTATGGTGAGAAGCTGATCACAAGGAGAGACTAAACAGACCAAAACTTTAAAGCAAGAAGGAAAATATTGATTGAGTGAGGAAGGTGCAACAGAATTCTGTAAAATCACAAAGGGGACTGAGAATATAGCTATTACAAGCTAGTAAATTATCACAACTTTATTACCATAAAAGACCTAGGGGGTATCAAATGAAATTGAAGAAGCTAAATTTCTAAAATGCCTTTTTTTTTTTTTTTCACTTGAGCATGTGTTTTTGGCCAAGAAAGGATACCAGCAATAAATCTTTGGTCTGACCTAATAGAGTTGATGTTCAGAATACCTAATTTGCAGTATGAGAGTGTAAAAGTTAAACAATTATTTCCTTTTCTTCTTAGTACCAGGGGAAAACATTGCAACAATGAAGTATGGAGCGCAGGTTGTAAAAGGGGAGCTGAAGTCTGCTTTATTAGATGGAGATACTCAGAACTATGACTTGGATCATGGCTTCTCTCGACACCCGATCAGTGATGACTGCCGTTCTGGAATTGAAATTAAACTAGGCCAGCCGTCAATAATCAACTATATACGAATACTCCTGTGGGACAGAGACAGTCGGTAGGTGCCAAGTTGACATAAAAAGGGAAGGTAATGCATTTTGTACTAATGAAACTTTACCAAATATGAATTGTTTTAATTGTTTTCTATTTACCATTTATCAACTGCTATTGTTTTAGTTTGAAAAACAATTTTCTAGTTCGTTGGAAGAACCCTATTTTTTACATATTTACATTGTAAACATTGGATGAATTTTTTTCAGGTTTTTTCAATATGTCAAAACTTAAGAAATGACACACTTTGTCAATAAGGTTGGACTCAATCTTTGAGGTCTTTTCCAGCCTAAATGATTCTGTGATTCTGTAATTCAGAGACAGTAAAATTTATTTAGAATGTGAATTACCAATAAGCTACAGTAGTTATTAGAAGCCACTTCATGCTTTTTAGCTATCTAATTGTTTCAAGTAAATTCTCCTAATTCAGTTCAACTGAAATTTATGTTTCTTCTCTATTTCTTTTGGAAAGATAAAAAAATAAAACTCCGAAGGTACAAGGAACTGCTTCATATAATATTATACTACTTGTCCCAGAAGATCAACCAAATTAATGAACCAATTACCAACCAACTTTATAAAATTTGAAGGAGTATTAGAAATATACTAGTAATGAGGAGTTCTCTAGCAATTTTTAGAGAGCTTGTATGACTGGTAAAATGCCCCTCATCTGCAAGGCATTAATTAGCAGCTGCTGAAACTCAGAGAAAAAATATTCTCTGTGGGACAGCTTAGTACAGAATTATCTGTTGTTCAGTGTCCTGTGCCCTTGATGTGAAATTTTTAGAACAAACCATTGTTGCTGGCAGAATATCAGACAAGATGGACCTCTACTCTAGAGATTTTTGTCTTCATAAAATACAGTGGTTTAGGATCTAGTTTCTGTGTCATCCTCATTTTTTTTCACTTTCTGTGGAAAGTTTGCTACTGGGCTTTCTTTTGCTTCCTATCAGATTCAGTACCAGAATGAACACTGACTGTCCTGTGCAGGGCCAGTAGTTGGACTTTGATGATCCTAGTGGGTCCCTTCTAACTCAAAAATACTGTGATTCTGTCAATTTTCAGGCTTTTTCTCTCCGATAGCTCAACTGTCTTAAGATAAATGGAAATGGAGGCATTTGGAGTACTTTGTCCATTTGTGGGCTCCTCGGTATAAGATACTGACCTGCTGGAGTGAGTACAGCAGGACACCAAGATGATGAAGGCTTGAGCCCATGAGAACCTGCAGTTTTAAGAGGAGCAGGCTTAGAAGGGAGAATTTGTTGCTCTCCTCACCTATTCAGTGGAAAAATATAGAGAATACAGGGCCAGACTCCGCTTACAGCTGTGTGCTGAGAGTGCAAAGAGCAGTGGACACAAGTGTTAAATAGTAAGAAAAAAATTTATAATAGGGTAGTTGAACTTCGGAAGAGTTTGGCCAGAGAGGTTATGAATATTAGCCCTTGGAGGTATGCAGAGTTTTACCAGCCAAGGCCTTAAGGACCTTGCTCTGAGATTGTCCTTGCTTTTTCTAGGGATTTTTCCAATCTCTCTACACTCTCTTAGTCTAACAATTGCCAACCACTTACCTACATCTTTCTTGTGGGATACATAATAGTGTACAAGCACATGGTTGCTTCTTCTTGAACATCTTTTTAAAATACTCATTCATTTTAACTCTCTCTGTGAAGGTCTAGTCTACTGGATATTCTTAACAGAACCAAATAGAAGATAACAGGTGTTTTGCACCTCTAGTTTAGAGGTGTTATTAACAGCTGAGTCTTAGATATAAAATTGCTAAGGAGAGTAGCTGTCCAAATTGCCTCTGCTAAGAGATGCTATCTAGCCTTAAAAAAAAAGACATATGATAATGTGACTGTATTTTTGAGATAATATTTCTTTGTTTGGTACCTTCAGAAACCAAGAAATAGCATATTATATATTGGTTACAAGTTTACATTAATCTACCAATGACGATGTGAGAATCTCTTAAATTTTCTCTGCACAGAGGACTGTCAGTAACTTTTGTATCCAAACTGCTCAAACTCTAAAACGTTGGAGTCTAGTATGGTCAAATATGCATAGGCTAGTAATAATAATGTTGCAAAACCACAGTGTATTTATATGGGTTGTGAATATTACACATCTGATTGGTGTGAATGTGAAAGCCGATTATGCAATTGACATCTTAAAGGCTCTGCATTACCCCTCCAAGTGCGTCAATTGCTATTAACAGCTCTCTAACATTTTAAGGATTTTTTTAAACAGTACCACTTTAGACACCTACTCTTCTCAGTCCTCAGGAAAATTGGAAATATTAACAAAGGCAATTATGTTTAACGAGAAATGTTTCTGTAGAACTCTGGAGGAGCAACTCCTCTTCAAAAATGAGCATGGAAGGATGTTAAGTGCTGATGTGGTGCTGTTGAAATGCCTGTGAATGTTGCAGATTAGTACATTAGGAGAAAGAAAATATGCTGAAACATATATTTCAGGATTTGTTGCTCCACGAGTCAAGTTTCTACTTAATTATAAGTGTCACTGTTGTAGGTATAATAGGGAATTAGCTATGGCTTTAAAGTTCTAGTTTGGATTTGTTTTCTCTTAACAGCAAACTGTAAGCTAAACATAATTGATAAGCACAAGAGGAAGACAGAGATTTTGTTGGTGACTTTTCTATTTTTCATGAGGTAATTTTGGAGTGTGTAAGGAAGTAGTGACAGGCTTAACAATGTATCATGAAGAACCGAAAGGGTCAAAAGTGAAGAACAGCATCAGTGAGAATGACCTTAAAGTAAATTTGCTTTTTTTTAAGTGAAGGGTTTGAATTTGCGTTTTTGATCTGCTAATTGTTTTGGGTTTTTCCTTTATTGATTTGGCAGTAGAAATAGTATTGTATCTCTGGTGCTTTAGTTTTATTCCATGCAGAAGGAATACAAATTATTATTGGTTTTGTGATTGAGTTGAAAGTCTCCATTGCATTTTTTGAGGGACAATAGTATCTTATAGTAACTACAGATTGTGAATGTAAGGATGTTTTAAATCTTTCTAAAAATGCCTTTACTGCATGAAAGTTTATTTTCAAAGATAGTTGGAAAACAGGGATCTGGGTAGGAATAAATAGCCTTCTCTTCAGCACAACTGAAAATCCAGAAGACAGTGTAAAATTTAATACCTAAAATGTGTCAACTTGTGTTCTAATCAGTGTTTTCTGACAATCCATAGGTCTTATTCCTACTACATTGAGGTGTCCATGGATGAATTAGACTGGATTCGGGTTATTGATCACTCTAAGTACCTCTGTCGGTCCTGGCAGAACCTGTATTTTCCTGCTCGTGTCTGCAGGTTAGTTCGTAAATGTAACATTGCATGGCTAACATTAAAGAATGTGGGCACCAGAATAAATTGCTGGATTTTGCTACTGCATTATGTATTTCTAAAAATGTATTATATGCACAACTTTCATCAGCTATCCCAAAATTTTCTATCTTGGTGGATGCTTCTTTAATGTAAATATAGTTGATAAAATGTACTTTTTTACTCTGGTTCTTCCATATCTACTTTTTTTTTTGACTCATGCTCATGCTTTTTTGCAGCTGATACGATTTTTTTCCACTCAGTAGTAAAAGTTATTCCTTGACTGCCTAAATGTTTATAATGCATTTACATACTTACTATAGAACTTGAAAATGTACCTTTATATATTTTATATATTTTCTGCTGATGCACTGAGAGACTGTTTTAAAGTTGTGAAAGAGTGAAAGGAGGTTTGAGCAATACCTTGTGTAACCCAAAATATCTAGATGGGTTTAAGCAGTATTAAGGTGATGATGGTTTTTTTTTACTGTAGGTGCTGGGAATTCTGGAAAAAGCTTATAATCAGATTGAAGCTATTTTATCCAAAAATTGAATTGAGCTCATTGAGGGAGAGGCCGCAATCTGTAGATATCAAAGATACTGTTGTCATTAGGTTTTGGGTCATAGGCCCAAGGAGGAAATTACCTGTACTGTGATTGTTTTGGAGACGCAAAGTTTTTATTCAGCACAGCAACTCTTGGAATCCCCAAGGAGGGAAGTCCTTTCTTTTTCCCAAAGAATGACCTCTTTCTCTGATCCTTACTGCTCTGCAACACTGGATTGCAGGCAAGCAGTTGTAGTCTATGGGGAAGGGGTCTGGTGGGTCACTTATGGGTCTCTCCTCCTCAGATAAATCTTTCTCAGCCTTGCTGTCCTTTTGTAAAGTTCATACTGAATGTAAGTGACTTGAAATTTATTTTTCCTTATACAAACAAATACATTCTCACCTTTTCCCTGTAACTTTTTTAATTCTGGTTTTACCGTTTTCTCTTTCTGAAACGGTTGGTGCAGTCCCTTGGTTTGTCTGTGTATTGATAAATTTTTGCTTAAAGATGTCTGTGATAAATCACCTAGCATTGATAAAATGTCCGTGAGTTGGTAAGTGTTTTACATTTCCTAGGGGTATTTTTTTTTTGTATGTGACTTTAGCTTAATGCAAATTGGATTGATTGTTAGTATGCACAGGGTTTTTTGCTTCCATCATGTTACCAAGATAATGTCTAGGGACTTCTCTGTTGTGGTGGGACTTCCCTAAATTGTTTTTTCAAAATGGCTGCCATTCTTCAGCCTCATTCAAAGACTTGTCCAAAAGTGGCTATTCTATTTCAACAACAGTTTATCTGTTTGCCGTCCCCCCTCCCAGGTGTCTTCATCTGTGTTTGAGTGTGCGTGTGCTGTCTTTTGAGTGTGTCATTGTTCTGTGTTGGTGAAGGCTCTTTGTAGCTTTGCCTGAAAGTGCAGAGAGGGAATAGAGGAGGGGAAAATATTATTCCAAAGTTTTAGAAGATACATTACTCGTTTTTTGGCACAGAAGGATCTCTTGTACTTTCTAGCTCTCCAGTAAGCTCTTAATCCTCTGCAAGTGACTCTTTTGGAGGAGCAGATTATCAGGAGGGAGTTCATTTCATGTGGTGCTTTCATATGCACAGGGATACAATTTCTGCATGCACAAGCACATCTGGGAACCTCCCCCTTGCAGTTTTATTGTAGCACATATTGGAAGTATACAGTTGTCCAGATATCTAAAGCACAAATTTCCTTATCACATAATCCTCATGCCTCAGATTTTTCCTGTTCTGCTCCATGATCCACAGGAAACATGTTCTATTCCATAAATCTCTGTTCCTCATTATCATATCCACAAAGCGGTGGGGAATTCCTTGGAGGTGCAGCTTCTTTGAAGAGCAAGTGAAAGAGATAAAGTCATGTAGTAGCATAAGTTTATGAGTACTTATTGTTAAGGAGCAGTAACCTTAAGGCACTCACCTTAAGGTGAGTTCTCAGTTAAATCAACATAATAATTCTTGGTAGTTTAGATAAGGCTGTTCTGTAATCTCTGCTTACATCAGTGAATTGAAGCCTACACTGTAGTAAGAATACATTTGCTAGTCAAAAGTAAAAGTGGCTATAATTTACTGCTCTATTATGTGTTTTTCCTGTAAATAATGCGAAATTCTAAATGTAATTAGAGATGTAAAATTGCTGACAAATTTTTGAAGAGTTGCACTTCAAGAACTTTTTATTAATTTATTTATTCATGGTAATATAGATAGTTAGGTCTAACTTGAAGGTTGGCTCTGCTTTGATCTGGGATTTGGACCAAATTCCCTCCAGAAGAGAGGCTTTGAGCAGTGGAGGGTACATACACTTACATATTAGTATTAGAGACTTCTATTTATCTGTCTTTTAATTAATATTCTGTTTAGAAAGAACTAAGGAAGGACTACTAAACTTTTTCTTGTCTCCAATTTCAGTGTTTTGTGATTATGTTTTTAAAGTAGTTCCGTTTACTTAAATGGGTTACACTAGTTATTTCTAGGACACTATAATGCATAAAATAGAAATCTTAAAATGTGTAGCAGTTTTTTGTCACCTAAAAACAAGATGTTCTCTAGTCTTTTGAGCGCAGACTTAAAATATGAGCTAATATGAGGTTATGTGAGAATGTATTCTTTTATTATTTGATATTCTGTTTTTACAGATAAGTTATGCATGCTTATCAAAGGGCACACATGTTTTAGGTGTTTTATATGCCCTGTTTTATCAGCAGATAATAAAAAGAAACTAATTTTTTTAATTTGAAGATGTAAATGCCTGCCCCATTTTTAGAGAAAGACTATAATGTAACTCAGCAAATCACTCATATTTACTAGTACTTGGTTAATCAATACATTTTTTAATCCAAAGCTAATTATATTTTCATGTTGCTCAATGCTGCTTCTGTTGTATACTCAAGTTAGTGTGGCAAGTCCCAGTGCCAAAATTTTCTTGTTAATCAACAAACAGTGCAGAGGACTGGATTGCAAGTATCATGTTTTGCTCAGTCGTCTTGCCATTAGTTTTCACATTTATTCTCTTTTTGCCTTAGTAATGCAGATAATATTTTTGGAAACAACCACATAGGGAACCATGCTGTGATTTTTTTAGAGCGTTTTGTTTTAGCAGAAGATCATGGACTATGTGTCTTATCAGTACAAGCTTGAGATAGGTGGTGGTTTGGTTTTTTTCATTTTAAAAAAAAGGTTATTTTAGCCCAAAGTGCTTTATGACATCACTGTATAGGATGACATTTTGAGGAGCAACAAAGAATTGGAAGCCAGAATTACTGGCTGGGTGTTTTTATTCACACACCATTTTTCAAAGCGAGGGAGTAGAACATGTAAGATTCTGTACAGGTTGTTGAAGGACAGCCAGTTTGTGTCTGATACACTAGAGCAATTGTTCAAACAGATTATAAAGAGGATATGAGCCCTGTAACATTAGGCAAGGTTAGTTGCCTTTTTGAGTTACCTTCCACATAAATATTAGTTGTAAAAGGTGAGAGCTGTCAAGGGCTGAGCTGATGTGTTCATCTAAGTTTTAAGAAGCTACTCAAACATTTCCATGGGCGTAAAAATTGATGTAGTGTGTCTTCTATTTGCATGTATGCCAGCTGAAGTTTTTGTTTCTCTTTGAAAACCTTTAACCTTTCTCTTAAGCGAATCTATCTATGTTGAAATCTGCAATCAATGCTTCTTTCACACTAGATGGATGAAAAAAAATGCATCGTTCTGGCAGGTAGTTGTTAAATAAAACAAGTAATTTATACCACAGTGAATTAAGACGAATTCACCCTCCTTAATGAGTCATTTGTGTGTGTCATAGTCTCTGTCGTGACTTTGATTTTTTTGATATATGGAGCATTGTGAAATATTTACAGTAGTGTTAGAATTAGGGGCATTATTGTGCTTCCCATGAAAGATAATTTCTGTTTGGCAAAGCATGTATCAAACCATCCAAACTAATTGGGCAGAGTCAAGTGAGTAACATGATAAGATTATTTACATGCTTTCCTTCTTCCTGTTACTACTTACATGCTCCAGCATATAGATTCAGAGTAACTTTTGCCAGCCATAACCTTTGTTAGATTAATAGATGGAAAAAATGGAGACTGAAATGCTAAAATAAAAAGGAAATGAGAAGATTATTTATGCTTTCTCACACTCATCAGATGATTTATTTGTTATTTTTAAAATGTAATTCCTGATTTAGATATACGAGCTAATTTGTACCAGGAAGATTATTTATTTGGTGTCAAAGCTTAGTACTACAAGTGAGGGATGTTGTTGTACTTAGAGGGCTTTTAGTAAAAAAAAAAAAAAGTAAGTATAATACATGGGGGTTTTATTGACAAATTGTGTTTTAGACTTTTAATTTTTGCTTTAAATGCTTTTAGAATACATTATTCTACCACCTTTGAAAATTGAACAGCCCTATAGTATGCAGAAAAAGCAACTAAGAGAGTGAGATTACCGGGCAATTTTTTTTCCTTTTTTTAATATTGTACTGTATTTTTTTAGAATTTCTTTTGGTCCTACTTTCATTGTTTATGCCTTTATAGCAATTGTCATGTAGAGCTGAAAACTCTTTAGAGGGAAGACAGGACACAGAAAATATTCATGTAATCAGGTTCTTGTCAAAGTTAGGAACATGTGATGAACCCAACATGTGTTGGGTTCATAGTTCTTCCAGCTTCCTCTTGTAACACTGAATGTTAATACTGGTGAAGATCTTTGAACAGGTAGTGCTGTTTTCTGTTTTATCCTGCTCATTTTTTTCATCTTTTCATTTTTGTTTTGCATTTTCATCTTTTTACTTTGTGCTAGACCACAAAATATGAAAAAATTCATTAAAAGAATTAGAAGAAAATGAAAAATTTTGAGGTCTCATAGTAAGTCAAATGTAGCCACAAGATGTCACTACAATAAAAGTTTAAAAGTCTTATCTTC